GATGCGGGACTCGATCCCGGGACTCCAGGATCATGACCTGAGCCGAAGGCAGTCGCTTAACCAACTGAGCCACCCAGGCGCCCATACAAATGTTTTTTTAAACAAGACATAAAACCGTCATAAAAAAAATCAACACTTTGATATTTCACCACTCTCTGGATACAGAGAAATTATAATCTCTGTAATAACCTTACTATTTATTTAATTGTTCTTATCAAAGGTTTTGTTCTACACATCATTTAGCTGTGACTAAATGGTATATCATATACCCCATCTGAATAAGATGATCCATACTAGCGAAAAATGAAAAAAATCCATTTTTAAGGGTAAATCTAAATAAAACATATGCAAGAACAAAAGCTAAAGAAATAAATGAGTTCGGTAAAAAAAGCAGAAGAGAGAATCATGGGTCTCATTTCACAACAGATTTCTGCATGGAGGTGCGCTGTGAAATTATACTCCTGAAATGTAAAGTCGCCCACATGTGGCTGATGAAAATAGCTGGCCACACTTACAGGGAAAAGACAAATTACATCACTAGTCACGTAACGTACAGATTTCATCCCACAAGTAATTCTCCTTGAGTAAAAATATACTTAGAACTTCAGAATATTATTCCAACTGTTAGCAATGTAATTAGTATTTGTTAGTCACAAGTTTTCCAAATAATTTTAATAGAAGCATATACATAACATAAAATTCTTTTTGGTATTAAGAAAATTATTCAAAAAGACTTTTTACATTATGCAACAATATGAAAGTACTTAATACCAATTAACTGTACACTTAAAAATGGTTTAAAATGTTAAATTTTACATTATATATATGTTACCACAATAAAAAAAATATACACAAGAAACAAGAAATAAATGAACAAAACATGTTTTTAAAAAGAATATGAAAAACAGACTTTTACCATATCAATAAAGTATAAGATCATAGTATACACCTAGTAAAGCCTCTCCACTTTCAGTAACACAGGGACATAGGAATGGACAATTCTTTGAGGAAGCTGCTATTTAAATAAGGACTGGTAGCTGACTTCCTGCTGAGCAATCCTCTCAGCTGGGTTTTCAGACTGAAGGGGAGGGACGGGGAGCAGAGAGAGACAGAGCAGGAAGGGTCAGAAGAGCAGGAGAGAGCCGCAGCTCAGAAACCCAGCAGGGGTGATCCAATCCCCAGGGGACCTGGCCGGCAGTGACCTGGGAGGGTGGCAGTCGGGGGTTCTGCACTATCTTTCCCAGAAGGACAGTCAAGGATTTCAGAGGGTCTCACGGAGAAGGGAGGGGACAGATGGACACAGGGGCCCACCTGGGCAGGAGGAAATCTGTAGGAGAGGAGAGCCTGGAGGTCCTAGCAGGGGGGCACTCCATCCTACCCAATCCTTCCCTGTCCAGGAGCTGGGTCTCTCACCAGAGATGGAGATAAAAGCAGACTGACTGAGCACCTCTATTGTTTTTTAATTAGGTCAATAGAGGCTTAACAAGACTGATTAGGACACTGAGTTGGTCACTGAAGGGAAAAAAAAATCATTATCAATGATACTTACAATGGAAATAAATGGAATGTAATGATGTCTATCATCTTAAAACAGAAGTTAATTTTAAAATCATTTCTTTGTAAAAAGCAACATGTGAATTTGTTTTCTGCTTATAATAAAACAATAAGAAAAATTTTTGAGGCAATCGGGAATAATTTATATGGGCTGGCTAATACAAGAATTACCATTGGTTTTGATATAATGACGTCACAACTAGGTAAGCAAATGTCCACATGTTTTATAAATGCATGCTGAAGTATACAGGGGAAAAATAACATGATGTTTGCAATATGTTTGAAAATTATTCAGCAAAGAGAGGCAAGAAAAGATTGCTCCCATGATAAATGACTGGGCATCCCTGGGTACCACTGCTCTTCTGGCCATGAGAAACATCAGCATTTTTAAATATTTCTGAATTCCTCTGAATTCTACCCAATTCAGGAAAAGAAACACCTAGCACATTCCCTACCACAAACAGCATGTATTAGCACCACGCTCTAACCAACTGAGCTAACCGGCCAACTCCTCAAACAGCATGTAAAACATACGCGAAAGGCAGCGAAATGAAGGAACACCGGAAGGGAGGAAACACTAAATTTTCATGCTGACAAACGCGAATTCACAAAGTAAGAGAGTGGTGCCAACCAGCACGGGGCCGAAGGGCAGCACCAGCTTTGTATACTGATATTCCAGAGTACACTATACTAACCGGACTGTCTCTGAGGAGCCGGCTGCGTCCTGTTTTCCTCAGCAGGTCTGAAGTGCAGTGGAGAGGTGGAGAGAACATGGGCACTAATGTAGAGACACAAAGTGCACCAGGAGAGCAGACTCACATACTGGCCTCATAGCTAGGAAACGTACATTTTAAGGACAGTCCCAAGCGATTAGTAATTCACGTACATATGGGTGTGCAATGTTTGGAAACAAGCTTACTCTTATCCTTCTAAGAAATAATTTTTAATATTATTAATAAAAGTGCTATTTCATAATTCACATTCTATCCTGAAATACAATAGTTTTGCATTAAAATAAACTATGAATCATTTAGTTTTAAACAATATAGAGGCAATACCATGAGCAATCATAATCATCTCTTTCAAACAGAGTTAGTACAGTTGGGAGTTTACTAAACTTCACTTTTCTTTCTTAAGATCAAGAGGAACTGAAATTCCCCCGGCTGGTGAAGTTGCAGGTGTATACCCCGCTGAGGAAGACTGTACCGAGGCAGCACGGACAGATCCCTTCCCGCACCGTGGCCCCGCTGAGACCTCACCAGAGCAGCAACATGGATTTCCAACAAGGCGATCTTACGGCCACACAAGGACGTGAGCAAGCAGACGGCCTGCACGGACAGTCAACAGTGAACACACAGGACCCCACGGCAAGCGCGGCATCAGTAATGACATCAGCAGTTACGCTGTAGCTGCACGTGGCACCGTGCGCCCAGCAACATGCCGCCTGCCAACCATACGGCCCCCGGGGAGCTAAGTGGCACACAGCACAAGTACAGAGAGCTGCATTCTGCAGGACTCAGCTTCTCATCCCCGGCTTTGCTCATCACTGCACATGATCCGGCAACTTGAATGCTGAGGCTCCTGAAATCTTCGTTTCCAGCAAAGAGAAACAAACCAGCGCTGCTGACGGGATAAGTGGAGGGAACCACCCACTCACGGACACATCTCTGCACACAGGCCTGTGCTGGGGGCTGGCAGGTCTCGAGCAGCGAGGCCTTTACAAGAACCCTGCCCCCGGAGCGGCCCCGAGTCACGGAGAAGCAGGCGCCCACAGAGACCACAGACCCCGTGCACGGTGTAGCCTCAGGGGGAGCAGGGAGAACAGAGCTCCCGGGGCAGGTTCAGGTGAACCTTCAAGGGTGAGCAGGAGGAGAAACGGGAGCTCTGCTTTGGAGGGTTCAGGCAAAGTCCCGCAGGTGATGAAGAGGCACAGTGACTTCCCATGAGGATGGAGGCATGGGCTGGCCCAAGCTAAGAACTCAGACTCTGTCCCCAAAGTGCAGGGGCCTTAAAAGAGAAAGAGGGAGCTTGCATTTACAGGTGACCTTGGCTGCAGTGCACACAGGGAGGGCGGAGAAGGAAGCGTTAATCATGCCTGCATTTCTGGCAGGGGCAGCTCCGTGCACGGTGGTCATGGAACCTGAGGACAGGAACCAGGGTTGGACGGAGGGTGCCCCAGCTCAGTTCAAACAAGTTGAGTCTGACAAGCTGATGAGGCCGTCCAGTCACCCAGTCACGGTGTTAAGTCTCCAGTGAGAAATACTGACCGGGTGGACTTAAGAATCCTTGGTAGGAGCTTGGGACAGATGTGGGAGTGCTAAAGAGAACAAGTGTCCCTCGGGGCCCTGCACACACATGGAAGATGGGAGGACTGGGAACCAAGGGAAGGGAGACCCACCAAGAGGTGGGAGTGGACTCAAAGCGTGTCCTTGGGATCCCGCGCACAGAGGCTGCCCATGGCCCGTCTGCACATTCTGATGACTAGGCCTTCTACACCAAAAGGGTCACTTTCCCAGATGCCAGAGAAAAAGATTAATTGAAGTTACATAAAATTTATATCAAAGATGATCTGAACTTTGATCTTACCCTTGTAATGTAAAACGGCTTCTACTTCAAAGTTTGCCAAGTTAAAAATGAATAAGCCAGCTGAGCTTCCAATCCACAAGCATGTGGTATTCTCAGAAGAAAGACTAATTTTAAAGGAAAAAGAGAAAACGCCCAGCTGGTCTCCCTCCTCAGGCTCCCATCCCACAGAGCGCCACGGAGCGGGCCCTCCTCAAGCTCTTGTAGGCAGCCGGCTCTTGGCATTTAGGATCTATAACTATCCTCGACTAGGCTGGTATTTCGGGTTTCCTGGACACCTGCTGTCTGGCGAAGACAAGTACTAAACAACCACAACCAGATCCCAACTCGACTGTGATCTGCAAGGTTTTCCTTTCTCTGAGGCCACAGGACTCTGCTCAGGTGGGCATCCCTGTGAGAGGGGCAGCGCAGCACCTGCAGGTCCTTCCACGCAGTGTCTGGAAAGGAGGAAACCAGCTCAACAGGAAACAGACGAAAGTAGCAGAGCCCATGAAAAGCCAAACGCAGCTCTGCTTTCTCTTCTATTTTCTGATATACAAACTAGATAAACATCGATAAAGGGACCAATAAGCCCCTCTGGCTGTGCCAGACCTGGGACTCTGAGCAGCTCTCGGCACCTTCTCTTCCACCTTCCTCTCGGTCCCCTGAGGCCTCTGACCACCCTGACTTCCTGGGCTCATTCTCAGGCCCTCATGCTCCCACAGCCGTCCCCAGGTCAGCCAAACAACTGCACCCCAGGGGAGGAAGCCCAGGCTGATCCTCAAGGAGCTCCAGCGCAGGTCATCTCAGATGTCTGTCCCGCGCGGCCTGCGTCGAGGGGCAGACCCAGCAGGGCACCTGGGCAGAGACCTGGCCCACGGCACAGCCGCTCCCCTTCCCATCCCCACCTTGTCCAGGGAGACCAGAGGCTCGTCCCTCGTTGTCCCTAGAGCTTTCTGTACTCAGTAGTTAAAGCCATCATAGTATATTTGAAATGTCTGATGTAGGGCACAGATGGGGGAGGTTTAGAATGAGTTATGATTACATCCCCCTTTACCTTATTACAGAGTCAAGATCTGCCTAGACTTTGGTGAGCAAAATTAAAAACAATTTCATTTCTTTTATCAAACAGACTTAAAAGTAATTGACCAAGTTTACCGAATATGCAATCCTAAAAACACTGAACAGTTATTATTACTTAAACAGACAAAAATACATTGGCTTTATTTATAATCATTCTTAAAAAATGAACCTAACTTAAGAGGCTTTCCTCAATGGTGTTGGACAAGTTCATCATACTCCCCACCCGCACTCGGCAGGGAGAACGAGGGACAGATCACATGGCCGCAGCCCCAGGACAGGGAGGCTTGCTTCAACCTCCTCTCCTTTCTCCAAGCCATCTGTGCAGGGAAGCCAACCCTCTTCTAGGAACAGAATTACTGATAATCTGAGCTATGGGATTAAAATGGTCCGGAGAGTTAAAGGCAGACAGTTGGCAGCATGGGATATTGTAGGAAATACATGTGGGCTAGAATAACTCGGATCAGATCATGAGTCAAGGAAAACAGCCAGGCTTACACGCGATGAAGAACAAGATTATAGGGACGCCTGGGTGGCTCAGTCGGTTAGGCGTCTGCCTTTGGCTCAGGTCATGATCCCGGGGTCCTGGGATCGAGCCCCGCATCGGGTTCCCTGCTCTGCGGGAGGCCTGCTTCTCCCTCTCCCACTCCCCCTGCTTGTGCCCCCACCCTTGCTGTGTCTCTCTCTGTTAAATAAATTTTAAAAAATTCTAAAAAAAAGAACAAGATTATAAATGCAGAGTAGTCCCCATACATGAGGACTGTCAGGAAGAAAGGTGGAGTTCCAAGCACACCTAGACTTTAACTCTGTTCCTAAAGCAGGATCAGGTTCACTTCCTAATTAACAGCACTTACACAAGAAATAATGAAAGCCAAGATTTAAAGCATTAGGAAGAAAACAGATACATTGGATAAAGGTAATTTCTGACCTTCTTTTGACAGAAATAGCTTAAAGCCATCTATGAAAAAAAAAAGACACAAACTAAACCAAAAGGAAGAAGAACAGTGATGAGAAGCTTGAGGGCAGCAGGGAAAAGACACATCTGCTGTAACAGGAAACTTAAGGGATGCCAAGTGCCCACAAGAGAGTAAGAAGTAAACCACCCCCTTTCCAGCAGAGCATCCACTCCTTTTGTGATGCGGTGTAGATACCAGAGTGAGGCGTGGCCACGTGGAAGCTACTGTGGGCAGACAGAGAGGACTCCAGCAGAGATGGGGGCCAGCCCAGGTAGGCTGGGGGCCTGGCACAGGACAACCATCAGAAGCAGGGAAGCAGCTGCCCTGGGCTGGGGGGGCGCATGCTCTCCTCATCAGCGGACCTCACCCCCTGCACACAGGATGAGCTTCACTGCCGCCCCACCCCACCCCACCCTCCCTCACAAGAGCCCCCTGGTTGCTGGTGCATGTCTGAGGTCAGATGCTAGACTTCTCCCAATAGGAACTGTCCCTGCCCTGCGCTCTCTTCAGTTCACCTAACACAGGACCCTGGCAGGCTGCTCAGGAGCCCTGTGGGCAGGGGCCGCATGCGCAGGGGCCCCAGGGGAGGGTCTGCGTGATGTCACCTGGCAGGCTGCACAGCCTGGACTCAACCCTCCTGAAGAAACTCTCTCTCTTCTTCTTTAGGTCAACTCCTGTCACACAACGATAATGATGTCCTTCAACCAAACTGAAGACCCAAAGCTGGAAAGGCCAACAAGGCACAGACCGCGAGTCTGCCATCACAGGGCACAGGTGAACGCGAGGTACAAGCCCAAGGAGAAAGATGGGTGTGGTGCCCGAGACAAGCCCCGCAGCCTCAGAGCCTGCTTGGGCCCTTCCTCTGCCGGTCGGACCGCTCCCTTCCCCTTCCCGGCAACACGTCGATTCAGACGGGCCGACAGGTGCAGACGCGCCCACAGGTGCAGACGCGCCCTCTGGCTTATAAACCACTGCCCCAGAGGGCATGTGCTCTGGTCCCCACTGGCCCACAGCAGGCTCTCTGAACCCAACACCACGAACACACAGCTGCAGACACACAGTAAGAGCAGCCACCTTCGTCAAAAAGAAAAATAAAATCTCTTCCAAAAATAGATCTGTGATATTGTGATTTATAACAATAAACACATGTTTTTGGACTTCCTGTTTCCAGCACAGACCTCTTAAAACCCTAGGAACTTCCTAAGTGTTGAGAGTGACAAAGGTGTCTTTTGTTGTGTTAATGAGGTGACTTCTGGAAAGCCCCTAAGGGTGGGGGCAGGTTGCCAGGGGAACCAGTCACATGATTAGAGGCTCTGAACTTTCAGTCCCACCCCCTGACCTCCGGGGAGGGGTGGGGGCTGGAGGTTGGGTTCAATCACCAATGGCCAATGGTTTCATTAATCATGCCTACATACTGAGGCCTCCATGAAAACCCAGCTCCCAGGTTGGTGAACACGTCCATCGTCCACACCAGGAGGGCGACCCTCCCAAACCTCGCCATATGTGCCTCTCCATCGGGTGCTCGTCTGTGTCCTTCATCACGTCCTTTAACAGACGCGTCAACTGGGGGCACCTGGGTGGCTCAGTCGGTGAGGCGTCCGACTCTTGGTTTCGACTCAGGTCGTGATCTCAGGGTCCTGAGGCCAAGCCCCACACTGGGCTCCCAGCTCAGCACGTTCGGAGGGAGTCTGCTTGGGATTCTCACTCCCTCTGCCTCTGCCCCTCCCGCTCGTGCTCGCTCTCTCATTCTCTCAAATAAATAAATAGATCTTCATAAAAACAGACTGGTAAACTGGTAAATAAGCGTTTCCCTGAGGTCTGCAGGTCGCTCCAGCAAATCCGTCAAACCCGAACGGGGGGTGTGGGTCCCTCCGGTCTGCAGCCG